GGAGATTGGGGCAATATTTGATCACATTAATTTTGCTGGAGAGGAACCACATTTGTTTCAGAGCACGACTCAAATTGATGTAGAGTCTACCAAGTATCAATCAATGCAGGAACCTCAGCCACAGCCCAGCAATTTCTTTTTAACTGTCACTGCAGGAAAGTTCCACCTCTTCCTAAAATCCTCAGCCCTGGAAATGACCAATCCCAAGTCCACAGCTCTGTAACTGCACCCAGCCATGGCTCAGGGATGATCAGTGACACCCTCCCCTCATGAGCTGCTTTACTCTGTACTTTACAAATAATTGTACTGATTTTCAGGAGAGATGATGCATTGCAAACACACAAGCTTTTAGATTTAGCTTTAAGAAAGCATTTTCAGAAATTGCAGCTGGATTATTTATAAGGATTTGGGACAGTAGCTGGCTTGGGCTACCCTTGCAAGGGAGACAGGAGTGTTTACATCCTGAGGAAAGACTTTGGTGCCACTACACTGGCAGAAGAAACTCTGCAAACTCAACAGCAACCCCACATTTCACCTGAGAGCTGAGTGGCCTGAGGATCTGAGAGTGGATGGATGCAGCCACCACAAAGCACAGCTTTGGAGACACAAATGAAAAAGGAGTGTATCCAAACAGAGTAACCTGGGCCCATCTGTGGCAGCAGCACTGAAAACAGCACCTCCAGCAAGGCTACACCATTTCCTTGCTACCTCAGACTGTCAGACTCCAGCAATGCTCTGCAGGTTTCTAAGAGGCAGCTATAAACTTGCAAGAAACAAATGCCAAATGCTGCTTTTTCCTGATCCAAGCTTCCCTTCCCTTCCTGCACTCAAAATGCAGCACATCCCTTCAGCCTTTCCACCTAGAAAACATTACAGTAAAGCCCAGCCATGAAAAGCTCCCTAAAAACACCTCCAGAGATGTCAGAGGGAATTTAGGAGAGGTGTAAAAATAAAAACCAACCAAAAAATTTCTCACCCCTTTTTGAGGATAACAATCCTGCCTCACAAGCTACTTCTACCCTGCCCAGAAGTGTGAAATTTCCTTTTCCCAGTGCTATTCTCAAATAACCAGGCTGCCTTTGCAAACCAGCCACTGTGCACCAGAGCACAGGTATTTCCACCCTGACTTGAGGAGCAAAGGATCACCCAAGAACTGCTGGCAGAAGGGCAGAAAACATTACATGGCTGCCTTTTCCTATAAAAACTTACAGCCAGCAGGAATGCATCTGCTTAATGGCTGACTCATTAAACTTGCCTTGCACAATCTGTGGCCACAGGGCACGATTTCCCTGAGAATTCCTGACTTTTCCACAGAATGGAGAGACTCTCCTTGAAGCTCCATCCAACAGACATCCACCTGCATGTACCTCACAAGAAACAAAAAGTATCTCAGAGTAGTCATATTTAAGAAATGTTTATGGCCCACTGGGCTCTAGGGAAACCCTGTTAATTCCTAATGGATAAACATGAAAAATTAATTCTGGAAGAGAAACATTTAGAACAAAGCAAAAGCCTCCCTAGGCTGACAAGGCGGCAGTTTGGCAGGTTTGAGTTACCTGCAGATACAATTCCAGCTCCAGAAAGAGACAAAGGTTTTTTGCGGGGTGGCAGACAGTGGATTGTCTCAGAATTTGATATGGTGAAGGCTGAGCTCCTCTGTGACAAGGAGGAAAAAGATTTGTGAACCCCCCAAGAACCTGAATATCACAATGTGGTAATTTCTCCTAGGCTGAAGTTGCCTTTTAAACAGAAACATCATCTACAGCCACATCTTCAAGAAAATGTTTCTTCCTGGCCAAAGAGTCACGCTTTGGGGACTTTCTTTTCTATACAAAGAAATTTCAAATTAAAAACTTACTGAAACAAACCAAAAAATTCACAGCACCTGTGTTTCATTTACCAGATGGAGGTAATTTGGGAAATCAGGAGAAGAGGACAGCATTGCTTTCCCCCAAAAAGGAAAAGCAGGTCTGAATCACTGCAGCTGCTTTTCCAGCAACACATTGTTGGATTAGCTTGAGCTTCAGAGAGGAGAACATGGATAAGCCAGGCTGGTGCCCTGTGCTTTCAGGACACAGCCTGAGGGCTCAGTCTCAGCAGGACAAAGCCAGCAGCAAACACTTGGCTGGCTCCATCCAAAGTGGGCAGGCAGGAACACCTCAGGCACCTGTCTGTATCACAACTGAGATTTTGTGACAAAAACCCCACTGCTCTTCCAGCTCCTGAAGCAAAAACGCCAGAGGTGGGAAGTTTGCACCAAAGAAATGAAACACAGAGATTCAGGTGGTGGCACAGAACACAGCTGGTCCATACAGACACTGGGGCTGGTGGGTGGCAGCACAGCAGCTCTGCCTGCATCACACACAGCCCATGGATTCCCTGGGCTCCTGTTCCAAGCACAGCTCGGCTGCAACTTCTCTTGTCCCAAACCACGACCTTCTTTCTTGTTCTCTACATGAGGAGCTCAGATTCCACATCACAGAGCCAAAGTAAGAGAAACTGTGGTGTTGTGAGCTCTTCAGGATGGGCTGAGAGATGAGAATTTGACTTTATGTTCTCAGAATGTTGATTCATTGTTTTATGATATTATATTAAAAGAAAAGATATACTAAAACTATACTAAAGAAAGAGAAAGGATACATTAGAAGGTTAGAAAAGAATGATAATGAAAGCTCCTGGCTGACTCCTCAGAGTCCAACACAGCTGATGGTGATTGGTCAGTAATTAAAAACAATTCACATGGAACCAATCCAACATTCACCTGTTGGTAAATGATTTCTAGACTATATTTCCAAACAATCAGATAATTATTGTTTTCATTCTTTTCTGAGGCCTCTCAGCTTCCTAGGAGAAGAAATACTGGCAAAGGGATTTTTCAGAAAATATCATGGTGACAAGAAACAACTACAGGAATTTTAGCTTGAAAGACCTTGGAGACCCAGAAAAAAATCCCCAACCCAAACCTTGTGCCAGTCTCAGCACAAAATTCCCAGTTACAACCATCAGTGCTTTGGTTCTTCCAACCTTATCCTGCCCCACAGCCACAGCCAAGGAGCTCCTCACATGACTAAAATGAAGAGCTGCTCTCAAGAGAGGTGAAATGCAGAATGCACAGAAGCAAACTCCATGGGAAGTGTCTCTGGGGACAAACAAGTCACTGTGCTCACAGACAGCGCAGCAGACAAACAGAACCCAGAATTTACTACCCAAGGACTTTTCAGGTAAGTGTAGAAGCCACAGTAAAACAATCCATGATCTAACAGTCTGCTTTTCCTCTTTTAAAGTGTCTTAAATCTAAAACTCAATTCATGATCTAACAGTCTGCTTTTCCTCTTTTAAAGTATCCTAAATCTAAAGCTAAGAGGTGAGGCTGCCACAGCCTTGGGATGGTGTGTGCTTAGGGAGACAAAGTGCCTCAGGCTCCACTCACTTTCTGCTAGGAGTCTGTGTATTTTCTGCTTGAAGTGTCAAATGCATCACCCTGAAGATAAATATTCATCCTCAGCCTTTCAGTGCCAACAAAAGGGATGGAAAATGATTTTGGACATGGAGCAAAAGGACAAGGGAGAAGGGGCTCCCACAGCCAGAGGGCAGAGATGGATGGGATTTTGGGAATTAGGAATTGTTCCCTGGCAGGGTGGGCAGGCCCTGGCACAGCTGGGGCTGCCCCAGATCCCTGGCAATGCCCAAGGCCAGGCTGGAGCAGCCTGGGATGGTGGAAGGTGTCCCTGCCATGGCAGGGGTGGCACTGGATGATTCTTAACAGCCTTTCCATGATTCTGTGTTTAAGAGGGAGCCACCATGCAACCATTTGCACTCTTAGAACACTTAGAACAATTCAGTTTAAAAAAGAAAGGCAATATTCATCTCAAAGGTGTACAACACCAAAAGACCCTGCGTAACTGCTTCCTGCTGAATTACCCCAAACAACATCATCCCACTGGAGTCACATCTACACCAAGACACTTTGGCACCCCTTCAATGTGCCAACAGGAAATCACAGCAACTGGAATTAATATAATTAAAATTAAGTTTATTTTTATTGTTGTACCCAAGCATCCTCAGCCCTACTGCACTGAGCTAAAATATTGAGCCCCAATATGTCAACTGGGAACCTGGGAAGAAAAAACCAAGTACCTCCATATCCCAGGAAGTGTTACTGCAGCAACTGCAACATCATGAAACAATGTGCTTTTATAACAATAATATGATTGCTACAGAACTTGTTTTGCTCAAGAAAATAAAAATAGTTATTGCCACATGCCAGACCTAAACAAGGTGATGGCTCCTTCAGTTATCATCTGAAAAAAAAATAATTTCTGAGATGCTGCTTCAAGTGATCAGCAAGGAAAACTGAGGACAACTGGATCATCTCTCCTCAAGCTCTGCCAGGAGCTTACCCAGGAACCTGCAGGGAGCAGTGACACAGCCACAGGGGCACACAGAGCACCCCAGAAGGTGCCCAGCAGGCAGACAGTAGTGATGGAACCAAGGCCCATCATTCCCTTTCCTCCAGGGTTGGCATTTCAGCTCCCTTGGTTCAGGAAGCATGAGGGAATAACACAAAGGCTGCTGCAGGAAATGGGTCATGGGGAGAACAAGGCACTTCCACAAGGAAATAAAGAGGGGTTACATGAGCTTAAGATTCACTGTTCAAACACATTTTTAGTCACCACTTGAGGTTTTTTTTGTGTTGGGAGTTTTTTTACATTTTATGGAAATGCTGGAACAGCTGAGGTGGTTTGACAGAAAGCTCCAGGCAGACAAACTTCTTGCAGGGCTCAGTGTGCCCAAGCACTTGCACCAGGAAAGTCAGCACAACTTTGCACACTGCAAAAAAAGGCAACTCATTCTCCTATAGCTTTGAGAAAAGCCCTAAGAGAACACTCCAGGACAAGAATAATTCTACACAAGGTATATTAATCAGCCAAATGATGAATTCAGCAGTTAAAACACCTGAGAGCAGGGAGTTGCACAGCACTCAGCAACACCATCCTCACCTGAAGTGTATTTGCTCCCAGTTTGCAGGTCAAGAGGTCACAGGGAACACAGGGAAGTATTTCTCAGCTGGGGCCTGTTCTAAAAATGAGAAAGAAACATAACAAAGATGACAACTTGGTGCTGCACCCAATTTCCCTCCTGGCAGTCATGCCCTGCAGTGCTCACACGTATCGACCTCAGGAAATGCATCTCGGACTGAGCCAAAAAAAGCCAGGAGGAGGAGAAAAATGGTCAACAGCTGAATAAAGGAATTAAAGATAAGCCAGGCCTTTAATTCAAGCCCCAGCTGGCAATGAGGATTCTAAAGGAGAAACCTCCAAAAATCCTGCCTGGTTTGACCTGCCCACCCCCCCCAGACCCCACTAAACACAGCCAGGTTTACCATCCTTCCCAAGCAGCTCATTAAACTACAGGCAAGCACAGAACACATGAATCACGTTGTGATAAACATCAGGCATTTCTGTGCTCCGAGCAGTACATTAACTGGAATTCACCCTAAAGGTTTTCCGACACAGACTGCAGATCAAGCACAGCTGGGGCCATTCAGCGCAGTTAAAGCTTTAAGGAACCTCTATCAAGAGAACGTGGTTTGACGTGAGGGTGATAACTCACACAGCCCGGGCAGCGCTGCCGGCGATCCCACAACAGCAAGAAAAGTAACTCAAACCTACTCTCCACGGTGGGAGCTCCCCAGAACTCCCTGCAGGGCCCCGGTACCGAACCCCGGCGGGTCCCTCCCTCCGAGCGCCGCCAGGAGCCCCAGCCCCGCGGGGTCACTGCCCGGGGGAAGGCACAGGGACACTGCGGGACACGGGACGGAGCAGCCACAAGAACACGGCATGCCGAGCCCCGCGTGGCCCGGAAAAACCGATTGTCCCGGGCAGCAGCGCTGTCTTAGCCCCAAGGCCCAGCACCCAGAACCCTTCACTGCCGGGGCCTCGGAGTCCCCCAGCTCCGGGCGGCAGCATCCTCCTATTCCCTCGTCTCCGGGGGGCAGGACCCTCCTATTCCCGGGGCCTTGGGGTCCCCCAGCTCCGGGGGGCAGGACCCTCCTATTCCCGGGGCCTTGGGGTCCCCCAGCTCCGGGCGGCAGCACCCTCCTATTCCCGGGGCCTTGGGGTCCCCCAGCTCTGGGCGGCAGCACCCTCGTATTCCCGGGGGCTGCGACTCCTCCTAGCCCCGGAAACCCCAGCTCGACTCCCGGGACGCCCCTCAGCCCTCTGGCCTCAGCAGACCCCACATTCCGACTCCCCCGAGACCCGGGAACCCCAGCTCAGCCCTCAGGACTCCCCTCAGACCTCCGGCCTAAGCAGACCCCACATTCCGGGGCCTTGAACTTCCCCGTGCCTTGGGAACCCCCCTTCCCCGCCCAGTTCCGGGCCCTGGCATGCACTCAGCCCGGGCCCCCATCACTGGGGCCGGGAGCACCGCAGCCCCAGCACCGTGAACCCCCCAGCCCTGAGCCGTGCCCTCTCCGCCACCTCCGGCCCCTCAGGACCTCGCTCACCTCAGCCCCGCCGCCGCTGCCGCCGCCCCGCCCGCCGCGCGCGCTCTTCCGGGGGCGGGGCCTGGGCGGCTGTGGGCGGGGTCTGCCTGTGGGGGCGTGGCCTCGGCGCCCGCCGGGCGCCGTGAGGGGCGGGGGGGTCGCTGCGGGTTTTGGGGAATCCGTGCGGGTGTAGGGGTTCCAAAAGCTCTTAGTGTAGGTCAGGAGAGGCTTTATACAGCGTGTGGTGAGTGCTCCTACGGGTCCTGTGTGTGGGGGCTGAGGGGAGTGGGTATAGGGCATTGAAGAGTGTGTGGGGCCTCAGGGGCTTAGATGTACTTGAAGGCCTATATACAGGGTCTCAGAAGTCCATATATATATATATATTAAAAAAGAAAATATATATATGTGTATATACATATACACATATTTATATATGCATACATATATATATGTATGTATATATATATATATATATGGGTTCTGTGAGGTCTGTACATAAGGTCTGAGGGTCCCACCTATCTATAGGTAGATAGGTAGTCTGAAAGGTCTGTATATAGAGTCTTAGAGGCCTGTCTATGGTGTGTATATAGATATATATATAGATATATATGCTCTGAATGGTCTGTATATAGGGTCTCAGGGGTTCATATATATAAAAATATACATTAAAATTATATAAATATAAATATGTGCATATATATATTTATATATGTATATATATTTTTTATATATGCGTATATATATACATATGGGTTCTGTGACGTCTGTATATAAGGTCTGAGGGGCCCACCTATATATAGGTAGATACATAGTCTGAAAGCTCTGTATATAGGTTCTGAGAGGCACAGATAGAGGTTCTGAAAGGTCCTTAGATAGGATCTGAGGAGCCTATATACATATTTTATATATATATATATATTCTGAAATGTCTGTATATAGAGTGTCAGAGGCCTATCTATGGGGTATATATATATACACACATATATATATATATATATATATACACACACATATATATATAGGTCTCTCTATAGGGTCTCAGGGGCCCATACCTGTAGGTCCCTCAAGGCCTGTGTACAGTGTACAAGGAGCATATTTCTAGGTCCTGAATGGCCTGTCTGTATGGTCTTAGAGGGTTATGTACAGGTCCTGAAAGGCTTGTATGCACTGTACAAGGAGTGTCTCTATAGGTCCTGGATAGCAGGGCTGAAGGGCTTGTGTATAGGGCCTGAAAGAGTGGTAAATGGGATCTCAGGGGCTTTTATATATCTTTATAATCATAGAATGTTAAGGGGTTGGAAGGGATCTTAAAGCTCATCTTGTCCCTGTGCACAGGGACACCTTCCAGCATCCCAGGCTGCTCCAAGCCCTGTCCAACCTGGCCTTGGGCACTGCCAGGGATCCAGGGGCAGCCACAGCTGCGCTGGGCACCTGTGCCACCCTCAGAGGGAGGAATTCCTCCCTCCCCCAGGGCCATGGGGAGGTGTGGCAGCAGCTGCAGCCGTGTCCCGTGGCCAGGAATGGGATGGCAGCAGGAAGGGAAAGTGAGAAAGGCACGCCTGGGTCATGTGCACCTCGGCATCCAGATCAGAGGCAGGACTGTCTGCTGAGGAGGCTAATTTTAGCTGCTTTAATTTTAGTTGCTTCCAGATGCCTCTTGGACTGGCTCTCCTCAGGCTTTAATGTACCCCCCCCCCCCCCATTAAAAACCACATTTTCCAGAGGTATAAATAGACAGTGATTGCTCTTGAGGAATCCAGGAGGCTGCTGAATCCTGACAGTGCCCTCCCAGTGTCACTGGGGGTTTTTAGGATGAACCTTTTGGCCAAGCTTAAAGGGATCCCAGAGAGGCTTAGAGGGGTCTCTGTGTGGCTGAGGTGCAGATCCCAAAAAGGGGGTGGGAGAAGCAGCCAGCAAACACTGGCATGTTTGGGTAGCTCAGGTCTGAGCTGGGATGAGACAAGGATTGCCGTCCTGCCCAGTCCAGGGGAGTTTTCCCCTCCTGTCCTGTTGCTCCATGAGAAGCTGGGCAGTGTTTACAGAGGGTGGCCAACACCATTCCTTCATTGGCCAGTAGACTCTGCCCCCACCTCAGGGCTGTGCTCTTTTATCTGCAGTAACCTGGAAGCACCAATGTTTCTTCTAAATAAAAGGAGATAAAAAGCACTTGGACCTGGGATCCTCCTGAATTTCCTGCTCCACCCATGCCTAGTGCACCTGCAGGATTTTGCCCAATTCTGCTGTATCACAGCCCTGGACATCTGTAGGGGCAAAATTAGCTAATCCAAAATTTAAATAACACAGATACATTGATGAATCTATGGACTAAAAGATAATTTAGCTTTTGTTCTTCCTAGCTGGTTTATTTAATCCAAGAACTCTGGGGCATGGGCAGGTTTTCCAAAGTGATGGCTTTGCTATGGCTTATCCCACACTCACCTTCTCTTCCATCAGTGTTTTATTTGCAGGAGGGAACAATCCATGCCTCTCTCAGCAGTGTCAGGATGGTGGATGAGGGTTTGAAGCTTAGGTTTTCCACTTTCCCACTGCAATAATATTAATTGCAAACTCTGGTGGGCTTTTCTCCAGCCATTCTTCTCAGGAGCAGCTTTCCAATATTCAGCCAGGTGTAATTATGAGCACCAGGAGAAAGCCTTGTTAAATACATTGTTTTATTTAGGTTTTCCAAGAGTGGAAGATGCTTCTAGCAGGAGCCATTTGACATGAAATGACAGGGTTTCATTTTGGTGCCAATATCCTCGCCCCTCTCTCTCCCTGAGCCTTGGGGAGCCGTTCCCTGCTGGCTCCTTTAATTGCCTAGGGTATTGATCTCAGGGCTCACATTTAATTCCCATTTTTGTGCTTTGTAATGAGTGCCCACACACTCAGCACGGGTTTGCTAATGAATTTTTGGTCTTTCTGCTGCCCTCAGCTTTTGCTCAAAGCCCATCTTCCCCCACCTCTGTCAAACATTCCTTGGAAATGTGTAAACTCTGCCAAAAGATTTTACTTTGGGGTCATTCCCGGCTCCTCCTTAATGATAAATAAATATCTAAATGCAGAGTGTGAGTGGCTGGAGGAGTAGGGGATAGCAGAGAGCTGGGGCAGGGGGTGCTTGCTGTGCCCATCCCTGTCCCCCTCAGAGTTGATCCCTGTAGGAAGCCCCACGAGGAGGAGAGCACAGGCTCATCCTAAATGTGTCTGTGCTCCCCAGGCAAAAGGAAGATTTGGGGTGGGGAATTCATGGGGAGAAGATGTGGCTCTGCCCCCAAGGGACCTTCCCCATCCTGGGCCTTCCTTCCTGCCCCTTTCCTGCCTTTCTAATCTTTCTTTTCCAGCTGGCCCAGCTGCATTGAGCACAGTTGGGCCATTTTTAGGATTTAATCCCACTGGGATGCTGGGAGCTGTCCCAGGGAGAGGCTGGGGTGCTGCAGAGAGGGAAACCCTGGCTGTGGTCCATGAGGTGACTCCTTGGCTGAGATGTGTGTGGGAAGATCTTCCACTGTGGAGTCATCACTGAGGGCTTTGCTACTCGAAATCCTTGTTCTGAACCATTTTTCCTTTCGCCATGGGTTTTCAACGTGACAGGAGAGGGAAACACAGCAAGCAGGGAGCAAGCAAAGGCTCTGTCAGGTCTGAACAACGAGCTGCTGCTGCAGTTTTTCTCCTTGGTTTTCCAAGAAAATGCAAATAACAATTGAAATGCTAAATGTGGGAAGTTGGAAAGACAGTGGGTAAATCCTTCCAGAAGGACACAGTCGAGGCTTCCACCTCTTTTCCCAACCAACAAAGAGAAAGAAGGGAAAGCTCATGCCTGCATGAAAAATCCAGCCAGAAATGAGGACTGAGGTGGAGCATTTCTCAGGGACAGACTCCAAAATGACATTGCTTGGGGGAAAGCTTAGAACAACCCATCAGGCAGCTCTGGAGGGAGGTGGGGATGGAAAAAGGAGTGTTGTGATGGTGTGGGTGATGGTGAAGCACATCTGTGTCATCCCATGACTTGGTCGTGCTCCTCTCTGTATTTTTAGAAATGCAGAGGGATAAATAACAGGAATTCAGAAGGAGCTGCCATCGGTGCTGTAGTAACTCCCAAGGCCAGAGGAAAAAAGTCTTTTCTAAGTAAAGTAATCCAGGTACATCACCTTCCAAGAGAAAGCTGAGCACACATTGCTTATTTAGCCCAGGTGCTGCAAGGTCTGTGCTGGCAGCCCAGCCCACCATGTCTGCAATACATATATATATATATAAAATAAATATATGTATGTATATATGTACACACACATCTGTATTCATACACACACACACACATATATATATATCCAGATATTTTTTATCACATACTTTTCTTACCCTTCACCGAAGCTGCTGTTGGCTGGGGTGCCAGTCTGACCCAGCGCCCCAAATCCCTGTGCCACCCCTACGCCGTATCCCTTGTGGTATCTTTGCTGCACCCCATCTTCCTGCAGCCTCTCCCCGATGATCTCTGCTTCCCTTGGAGCTCCCCATCTCCAGGGAACCCCTTTCCCGGTGCATCCCACCTCTCTGCACCCCTTTCCCGGTGCTCCCCACATTCCCGTATCCCGTCCCTGGCTGTTTCCCCTTAGGGTTCCCCCCGCGCCCCCTCTTTCCACGCCAAGCCCCGCCCATCATTGGCCCCGCCCCCTCCCGACCACGCCCACCACAGACCCCGCCCCCGCGGCACACCCGCTGAGGAGTTTCCCTGCCCTCAGGCCCGCGCGCAGCCCCGCCCACCGGGCCAATCGACTCTCCGGGCCGCCCACCCGCTCGGCGCCGATTGGCTGCACGAGCCCCGGGCCGGCCGGAGGGGCGCAGCGATTGGCCAGCGAAGCCGGCTGGCCCCGCCCCGCCTATCCCCGCCCCGCCCGCCCCGCCCGGGCGGCAGCAGCACCGCCGCCGCCGCCGCAGCGTGGGGCGGCTCCAGCGGCGCGATGGCGGCCACGGCGGGCAGAGCGCTGCCGCTCCTCCTCTGCGGCCGCCGCCCCGCCGCGCTCACCGCCGCCGCCGGCCGCTTCCCGGCGCTGGGCCGCCGCCGCCAGCAGCAGC